AGATCAACGCACCCTACCAGCTGATGTAAAAACAATAGTGTAGGCCCCGAGTAGGATTTACTCTGAGCCTCTGCATAACTGAAAGGTATGCCATGTAACTGTGCTACCAAGCGTATTACACAAGTGGCATGGGTTGCTGTAGCTTTAGCTAGACATGACGTAGGACAAATGGCTTGCAGACACGAGTATTACTAGTTTCAACTAACTGTACCCATATGACCAGAAACATAAAAATATCAATGATGCACCAAAAGGTACTTGTACATTAGAACTGCGGAAATGGTATGAGCTACCTTGGGCTGGTCAGAAAACCACGGAGGTAAGGGCAGGAAATTCCGCACCCTACCTCCCTAGCGCATCTACGCTCTCATTTTAGACCGCATATCCTCACCGAACTAAGACATGCGGCTGCAATTGAGTCCCCTCTATGCTTCTGGTTCATATTCGGGTAGATATTGTTTGCCTGGTTAGCAAAAGTTGGTTGTATGTATGCAGCACTTCTCAATATGCCCCTTTCGGACAGTCTGAAACGGCACAGGTGGAGTCTTTTAAACCCTTTGAAGCTTACAGAGCATATTCCATCCATAGTGCGGGTACTTCTTTGGCTTAGTCAGATACAGAGTGCTGGGAATGTGCTAAGCAAGCCTGATCCCAGGGGCAAGGTAGTTTGCATCCACCACTGCTCTTGGAAGTTGTATCAGCCATATCTCCACGGTTTCTTGGCCAATCCAAGTCATCTTATGCTTGTTCTGTAGCCCTAATGCTCAGGTATCTTATGGTCCCATCATTTATATTTATATGCTTTCTAGTTGTGTGACCACAGCTGATTGAAACCGGAGGTACTTGGGTCCGAGGTCTGAAGCCCGTCTTATCGCATACACATGCAAAGCATTGAATATACAGACTAAAAGATTTGCTCCCTGTGAGGCTCGAACTCACGACCTTTGGATGGCGCAATACAGTATATTGCTCATAATTTATGAGACCAACGCTCTACCAGCTGAGCCAAGGAAGCGTTACCTAAGGAAGCCTCCAATGTTACTGGACTGTAAAGACCCCGCAACTCGACCTAATGAGATTCTGAAGTAGATAAACGTCAAGAAACAAGGGTCAGAGTTGTGAGGGAACCTCCCAAGAAGTTCGAGCCTCGAGGGGGTAGCGCATATTCCCGGCGCAACCAATTTGCGGGGCGTTATGTTTTGGATTTAATTGCTACGCATATACACACCAATCCAGTCGATAATAGTATTCATCAGAGCAATTACGTGGTGAACAAACGTGCAGAAAGCAAAACAAAACGATTATAGAGTCGACAATTGAAGACAAGGGCGGGTGTGCTGACAGGTTTCGGCGCTTATTTCACTTTAATCAAAAGTAGAATTCTTTTAAGGGGCAAACGATCATCCAAATCGCGCTTGATGTTGGATTATAACGGGTTGGAAGGGTATGGTTCGGTACACTGAGATTCGGCAGTGCACCAGCAGAAACCATCGTGGAGCCTGCATACAATCTTATTACAAGAATTGCACCCTCCCCCGCTTCCTACCCCCCTAGCACGAAATTTAAATATACTGGATTCCCGCTATAACTCCTAAAAATACAAAACAATATATGCACAAAATTATGGGTTCAAGGGCTCGGACATGACTCGACCTCGTTCCTCGCCGTTGTAAAGCAATACACCGCGCAATTCATTGGCGTCGAGTTGCAGTCCAAGCTCAAATTCTAGGGACATCCAATGCTATGTTAGCGCAAAGAGGCCAGAAACCCCGGATAAGGTCATACCCGTGTAGAACCCATTCTGAAAATGGCGGTTAGGCATAGACGGGATCAGGACACCAAATCGTACATACCCGACTCTCTGCTCTGGCACGCTCCTTGAAGCTTGGCAACAAGCTCAAATCAATAGTCCACTTGCACAATTCAGACGTCTCGCCTTCATCCGTATACCGCATCGTGCGTTCACTATCTGATGTGAACACTTGCACTTCAAACACACAATCTTGTAGTCTTCATTAGCATCTTTTCAAGGTAGGAAAGGTAGAGCGGACCTTCGATATTCTTTGAAAATTTGCGAAACATAATCTTGACCGCCTGTCCTTTTTTCAAGACTGCCCCTTTTTGGATCAGGTACTGTATCCGATTATTGCAAACGCTTTTGCCCTCGGCATCCTGAGTTATGTAGCCCGCGCGCATTCTCCAGTCTTCAGGCTCAGCGGGGAGCTTGACCTGTTCGGTTCAAACGCATCGTTAAAAGAAGAATAAATGAGGTCGAATAACGTACCTTCATAACGTATGACCGAGGTGCGACGTAAGACGCCATTGGAGTGCTGTTTTCAAGGCCATATCGTACGGCACCGCGGCACGGTGCCGTATCTGGGTCAGGCGGGCGAGCGATGACCTTGATACGAGTCCCAAATTGTTCCTAAAAGGCGGTGTGATTGGGCAGAATTTAACGCAGCATCAAGTTGAGCCCAAATAACCGACCTATACAAAAGAAGAACTCACGTTGATTCGCTTAAACAAATATTCACTCCAAGCAAACCTTCCAACTAGCAACAATGCATCGATATCCCGCCCAAACTTAGCGATTTGATCGTTGATGAACCAAAGAGCCGCAGAAATTATTGGGTCAAACACCTGCTCCCGCATCCATTGTCACTTTTCATGAGAGCAGATTTGAAGAAATAAACTGGGCATACCTCGCTGCGTAGCAACATTCCCGGAATGTTAAGTTCACCATTAACCAACCCAACTGACCGATTGTCTGGATATTCAGAGTTAAAGCAACTGAACGGAAATAATGCACCTGCGCCTCGGTTAATGGTATTCACATCCTCGGCCCTAATAACTCACGATCGTCTTCCTCTCCCCCAAACGAGAATTTGACCGTTTCGTCAAACGCCGCCTGGAAATACCCTAGGCTCTGGTAGTCTGTATGCGCTGGATGTCGAACCAGCAGCCTTGTCACTAGGTCTCGGAACCTAGCCCATTCGTCAGTGTTTGCTCCAAGTACCAGATGAGCCATACCTCAAACTTAACAAAGAATCTCCACAATTGGCCTGGGTTCGTGCGCATATCTCTCCTATTTCCAAGTTTCTCAGACTCCCCAGCACTCTATAAATCGCCAGATCAAATGTACTCCCTCCGGCGTCACAGATTATAAAGTTCTGGGAGGAGCGGAGCAGGCGGAGGTTAGTGAAATAGGCACAGTGTGCGGCGGCGGCCTCGGCTTTGCTACGCCAAGATAAGTATACAAAAGGAGCACGTATAGTTGGGCAACAGACACACCTGATTATTTTCAATCGGTCTTTCTGCTTATTGTCTCCACCGTTCAGTGATGCTTTCCCCCACACGAGTCCGGCTTGAAGCGCAACTTCGCGCATGAGATTACAAGCGTCAGCGTTCCAAGTGGCGGGGACTGTGAGCCACACTTCGGCCAAGTCTATCATTGATATTCAGTCAGTTGATAACGTAAATCAAGGGGTATAGACGTCAACAATTAGCGCGAAGATTCGACCACACTTGTTTCTGATCCACCAGGAAAGCAGAGAACGTACCGAGGTCGATTACAGCTCCAATCTCACGCGTGATTTGTTGGAGGACGTGGCTCCGTAAGCATGACAGGAAGTCGGTAACAACGTCAATAGGGAGTTTGCCGTACTTTAATTTAGGGGTGATTGGACAGGAGAAGCATTAGAGAATGATGTACACGAAACAAAGAAAACTCACGGGTAAACTGGATAGACCAGGATCGGGGGCGCAGCGTAGACCTTTGGGCTCTAAGAATTGCTTGAACCCTGTTATCCGTGTGGTCAATGCGTTCCTATATTGGGCGTCCATAAGCCACGTACATTCACAATATACAAACCCCGGACTAGGAGGTGCGTTCTACGAGATAGGTACGATCAGCCTATAGTAGGGATGAATTGCGTAACCACGTACTTGAGCTTCGAAACCCCACAATTGCACCTTTCCTCGCTCGTTGTAAAGTAAACAGCTTGGAATCCGTCGCAGATCCTCATCTGTTCCGGGCCAGCGAAGGATTTGTTCTATAAGTCCACTTGTGACACGCGTGCCGTATGCCTTTAGACCAACTTAGTTACTTAGTTTGAGGTTTATAGTAATAATCCAACCCACCACGGCCGAGGAATCAATCCCAAAATCAATCGATACAACAATCTTTCCAACACCAGCTGATTGTCCATTTATAGCCGCCTCCGAGTTGGAGCTAGATCTCGTCGAATCGGGGGACAAGGTCGTGGCCGGTGGTGAGATTGTGCCGTCGCGGAACGAATTTGTTCCTGAACTCATACTTCGCGCAGACTGGGGTATATCCGTTGCATTTTTTTGTTGAACCGGCGCTGTATTGGGTCGAGGTAGGCTCCTTCTTTGGCCCTTTTCAGGGGGCAAAGGGCCTGGGGCACTATTATTAGGCCGACGTTGGTGGGCAGGCGGAGGGATATAAGAGCTCTGCCGATTAGGCCTGTAAGAGAGCAAATTGGAGGATGGTGGGCGTGCGAGCCGCGGTTCCCTGACCGGTGGGATAGCTGGTTGATGGTCAACGATATTGTTCGGAATGGCACTTTCCCTGTGCGGTTGTTCCGACTTTTTTTTGAACTCCTCGAGTTCCGCCGTTCTGCGACGAAGTTCTTCCAAAGAGTCGGTTAGGCTAGCGTTTAGAGCTCGCAGTTCATGAATCTCTCCCTCGGCATCGTAGATTCGAGACGTAAGCGCCGTCACATCGCGTGCGTATCTAGTTTCGAGAGCCTCTAATCTAGCCTTGAGGTCTGAACTAGCCCGAGCCTGGTTACCAGAGAAGAGAGCGTTCATCGTGTTGTTCGGGTAGCGTGACTGCGGCTAGCTGTCGGAACGGCCGACGTGGTTGTCGTGACTCGAAAGATATGAACCCTCAACCAAGAGTGCGATCCGGTGGGCTGCCTTGGTGATTGCAGGGACAAGGCACATAGGCCACTAGTAGTAGCAAAATACAGATCAAGGACCGCAAGCGCGAGGCGTCGCATGGGTTCATCTCATTGGGCGCTCAAAGCTATGCCAAGATAAAAACGTCAAGCAGCAGAGCCTCGACCAACACGTGACTCGTGCCGATCCCGATGTGGCGAGTACATGGACTGCTTAGTAGGTGCAGATCACCCTCCAACTCTTGAAAGCTCCCGGTACGGCGTTAGGGTGTGCTCTGGCGCATGTCGATCATCGACGCCGCATTTATTTGTGGTTTGTGTGCAGCCTCCATTGGGCTACTAGTCTTTGCATTATATTGACTGAGTCCAACGTCTGAGCTTGTTAGGTCTGACGGTGGGCTGTATCTGGATGTTGTGTTACAATTAAATGACATTAGCAGTTCTCATATCCAACCTGCACCCAAAAGTAAAGATCAAAACGCACGAGAACTTAGCGCATATAAAGTCTGATTTCACACTTAAGGAACGAAACCAGGCTAAGGGAATGTATTTGTTGAATACCATCTCGGCCGATCTGGAGGACCAATCTTCTCGGGGGTACCTCAAGCCGAGGTCATTCGACAAATCTCGTACCTCGTCCTCGGTTAACACAAAACCGCTGACATAGGATTGCATGCTAAAGGACAAGAAGTAAGAATTTTGGAGCTATTATTCCGTTAGTACTCATTAGACTTACATTTGGAAGGAGGCAGCGGAGGCCAGGTTAGGTGGTGATGTCAAAGTCCGAGCGACTCAACACGCCCAGACTAATTTGCACGTGATCTTCAGCCCAGCCACGAACAAGTGGTTAAGCGCCGAGCCCCGCCACATCCACTCACCCGCGAAATTACCCATGGCATTCTACGAAACCAGGGCTTTCGGTTGACCGAGTGCGAAGTCGCTAGACAGATGGCTACAGCCATCCCAGCGTACTATCAGGATCCGATCCTGTTTTTGACAACATTACGCCAAGGTGGCGAGCGACAGCCATGGCCATCCGCATATCTGTGATCCTGAAATCTCTCATACCGCCCGAATAGGTGCACAAACGACC